GTTATTTTTCCAAATAAATATATGGTAGTATTGTTCGCAAGGTACATTAGTGCCCCAATAGCACTGAGATATTGTGTTTCATCACCAAGAACCTCTTCATCACTTTCTTGAGGTCGGAATGAATCTTTATTTATATCAAGAGATCTCACTACCGTCAGGGTACTCAATGGGTGTGATTTATCCATGTAAAAATCTTTTCAAAACCTTTTCACTATATGTTGATTGATGGATAAATATTTCATTTGTCAAATGTTCAATCTGAAGGCCAAGACAAATTTTTGTCTTACCAAAATCTTTCATTTCAAATTCTTTCTTCAAACACTCAACGACTTTTGAAAGCTCTTTAGGAGTTCCAATAATGTTCAAGTCATCAATATAAACATATATTATTACAAATTCAAATTTTGACCTTTGTATAAAAAAATAAGGATAAATAGGGTCATTCTTGTACCCTTCTTTTAGCAAATATTCGCTAAGACGATTGTACCACATTCGGCCTGATTGTTTTAATCCATATAAGGATTTTTGAAGCTTTATTGAACAACTTTCTTTTGAATTTTTATATGCTTCAGGCACTTTAAATGCTTCAGGAATTTTCTTTAAAATATTGTGTTCTAGTGAGCCATATAAATAAGTTGTGACAACGTCCATTCGATGCATTTCAAGCTTTTCATGAGCTGTCATATTTATCAGATACCTGAAAGTAATTGCATCTACCACAGGAAAATACGTCTCCTCATAATCAATGTTAGGCCTTTGTGAAAATTCTTGTGCCACAAGTTGTGCTTTATATCTTACGACTTTATCATTTTCGTTGCATTTTTGCACAAAAATTCAATTATACTCCACTGACTTGATACTTTCAGGTATTCGAACTATTGGTCCAAAAACTTCACGTTTTTCAAGTGAAGCCAATTCTGTTTGAATTGCTTCCTTTCATTTTGGCTAATGTTTACACTCGTTGACAGATCTTGGTTCCAAATCCTCATCTTGTTTCATTATTTCAACTGCAACATTATAGGCAAAAATATTATCCACCACAATATTATTTCAATTTCACCTTTTTCTCGTCGAGACATAATTTATAGATATTTCCTCATTCTCATTATTTTCAGGTACATGGATTTCCTTTGTGGTGCCATCATTTATTATGTTTTAGAGCTCTTCATGAGCAATTGCTTCCATATTATGATAATCATCTTGATCATTTATTCCTTTTATTTTCCAAGGATTTTTATCCTTGGAACCAATTGGTCTACCACGTTTTAAGCGTGATCCAGACTCATTTGTCTTAACATTTTGCCCTATAGTGACATCAACTCGAATTTGAGCATTAGCAGCTCGAATATATGATTTCGTAACCCGTGGAAGGTTAGTAAATGCATTCGGCAATTGATTTGCAATATTCTGCAAATAAATTATCTTTTGAACTTCTTGCTCACATTGATTTGTTCGGGGATCTAAATGAGACAGCGAAAGTGAATTCCAATCTATCTCACTTTTTAACTATTTTTTCTCTCCCCCCTAATGTTTGGGTAAACTGATTCATCAAAATGACAATCAGCAAACCTTACTGTAAATAAATCTCTAATTCTAGATTTCAAATATTTTATAATAGAACAAGATTCGTACCCAACATATATCACCAACATTCTTTGTGGACCCATCTTTGTGTGATGTGTTGGAGCAATTGGAACATATACTGCACAATCAAAGATTCTATGAGAAATATTTGGCTCCTTACCAAAAATCAATTGTAATGGGGAGATGTCATGATAATTGGTTGCCCTTATGCGCACAAGTGCTGCTGCATGCAAAATAACATGTCCCCAAATCAAAACAGGCAACTTTGTTCTCATCAATAAGTGTCTAACTATCAATTGAAGACGTTTAATCAATAACTCTGTTAAACCATTTTTAGTATGAACATGTGCAACAAGATGTTCACCTGCTATTCCAGTGGACAAATAATAATCATTAAATGTCTGAGATGTAAACTCACCAGCATTATCAAGACGAATTATTTTTATTGCATAATCTGAAAATTATGTTTTTAACCTTATTATTTGAGTCAACAACCTCGCAAAAGTCATATTGCGAGTTGATAATAAGCACACATGAGACCATCTTGTAGATACATCTATCAAGATCATATAATATTTAAATGGTCCACATGCAGGGTGAATAGGTCCACATATTTCACCCTGTATCCGTTCCAGAAATACAAGGGATTCCATCCCAACCTTAGCCATTGATGGTTTCATAACCAACTTTCCTTGTGAACAAGCAGCACAAGAGAATTCCTTTGATTGAAGAACATTTTGGTTCTTCAAAGTATGCCCATGTGAATTCTCAATTACTTTGTGCATCATATTATAATCGGGATGTCCCAATCGGTCGTGCCAAATAATAAAATCGTTAGAATCAGTAAACCTTTTGTTTACTAGGGCATGTGATTCAACTGTACCAATATTTGTATGGTACAACCCTGAAGAAATTGCTAGTAATTTTTCATGCACAATTTTCTTATCTGCATTTATTGTAGTAATATAAAGGTATTCCACCTTTACTTCATTCGCGGTCTTACATGATAGTCATTTTGGCGAATAACCTTGAAACTTAACAAGTTTCTATGAGACTTACTACAATACAATGCATTATCAATTACCAATAATGTTCCTCCAGGTAGTAATAAGGTTGCTCTTCCAAATCCCTCAATCAATTTGTACTACCGAATATTGTATTAGCATATGCCTTTTTCATTATCAAACGAGAGAAATATTTCTTGTCTCTTAGTATCGTATGAGTTAAGGCACTGTCCAAAAGATACATATTTCCACTACTCATTTTGGATCCAACTGATGACTGAAAAATTTTATTTATCTTCACAAGAAAAAAAAACATAATAAGAAGTACGAAATTTAGCAAAAGAAATCTTAAGTACATAAACTTTAATTAAGACATTAAAAATAAATAAAAACATTATTCATTTCTAGTTCAATTTTCAATCTCAATTGTGATCCCCAAAGAAGTCCTCAGCTTCCAGATAAGTAATATCACCGAGTCCATCAAAAGCATCATCTTTCAATGCTAAGTTTGCCTCAACATTCTCATTATATTTTTGAGAAAATCCATCCTGAATATCATCTTTGTGAGTCAAATGTGACTCTACTCGGGCTTTAGAAGAGGAGGCGTCACCTTTATTTTCTTTCCTTTTAAAGAAATTTTGATACAACTTGACAAAATGTTCAGATTCTTGACATTCATTTTTTCAGTGACCTTTAAGGCCACAACGATGACAGTGATCGCTCATTCCTTTAAAAGGATTATTTTGAGAACCTATATTGTTCTCCCTTTTGTTATGACCACCACCTCGACGATTACTATATCGTCTTTTGCCTTTGTCATGCCCGCGCACATTGTCAAGGCTTCGATTATTTTGTCTTATTTTCAGACTGGTCGTGTGCATCAATCGCGTGTGCCTCCGGTAATGGAACATTTCCAGCGGGGCGGACTTCGTGATTTTTCATCAAAAGATCATTATGTTGCTCAGCCACCAGAAGACATGAGATCAATTCAGAGTACTTCTAAAAATCTTTTTCACGATATTGATGTTGTAATATCATATTAGAGGCATGAAAAGTAGTTAGTGTCTTTTCTAACATGTTCTCATCTTTTATCATTTTCCCATATAATTTTAATTGGGAAGTTATTCTAAATACAATAGAGTTATACTTAATTATAGTTTTATAATCTTGAAACCGTAAGTGCATTCACTCATAACGAGCCCTTGGCAATATCGTTGCCTTGAGGTGGTCATACATCCCTTTCAAACCTATCCACAATTCAAGTGGATCTTTAACTGTTAGGTATTCAACCTTCAGGCTTTCATCAAGATGATGGCGAAGGAAAATCATAGCTTTCGCTTTATCCTGATTTGATGTCATATTTTCGTCGATTATACTATCACCAAAATCCTTAGCGGTAAGGTGAATTTCAACATCAAGTACCCATGACAAATAATTCTTTCCAGAAATGTCAAGTGCCACAAATTCAAATTTTAATAAATTCGACACGATGAAAACTATCATAAAATAATTTTGAGTTAATATTATAATGTTGGTTTCTTTACAATAAATTGTAAAATATTAAATGATTAAGAATTAGTATAGAATATAATATAGGAAAAACTTCAAAATATGACAAACATCCATATATATTCGAGAAAAATAGCTATTTTTATTTATTTTTTCATGTTATATAGATATTATTAGACTATAAATAGCAAAGTTAATTTTATACAAATAAATATTTAATATAATAAATAAATATTAAGCAGCGCCTCCCCAGCCATAACAACCCCCCGTTCACCAACCTCCTATACAAGAGCTTACTATTGAACATATGTCTCTGGAAAATTGGGAGCGGCTTCTTCAAAATCACAAGGAGGTAGGAAAGTAATTATAAGGGAAAATTACGTGGGATGGCAAACATTCATAGCTAATTATATTATAGGGGTATAGTTTAATTTATTTACCTTATATAATTATAATTTATTTTTGTTTGCTATATTTAATGGGGTCCACAACCTATTATATAACCAATGGTATAAAAACATTATTTTCTAATTTTGTATATAATTATATACAAAACAATTTTCTCTCTCCTTTTCACATTCCAAATTTTTCTCCTACATTTATTACTCCAGCTATCCGGTTTGAAATTCAAATTGTTGTCCAAAATTAGATTACTCCCTCCCGAAGTTGAAGTTCCCTCCCGAAGTTGAAGTTCCCTCCCGAAGTTGAAGTCAATTTCGTAAGTACTCCTTAATTTTAGTTGTTTACCTCTTTTTCTTTTTTTTTTACTTATTCAAAATTTGTATATGTGTTCTGTTTATTTTTTTTCCATATATTTTGATGAAATAATCAATTTTTTGTTCTTGATAGATCTAAAATTGGTCACACAATGAATGAATCATCTTCATCTTTGAGGATTACCAGAGGTATTCCTTTGCATGTCAATGTTGTTGACATTTTATCATCGTTTTCAATGGGGTTAACTCAAGATTTGGGTTTGATGTAGGGTCATTGGGAAAATCAAATCAAGTTATACAAGAACAAACAATGGAAGAGCTTAGATCAAAGGAAAAAAACGACCCTACGGCAGTTCAACAAGCTATTAACAATGTCAAAGCTAGAGGCATTAAAATAGTACAAGGAAGAAGAAAGAGGAGAGCTGTAAACATTGAATCAGAGGAAAATGCTTCTGAAGTTGTCGGATCTGAAGAACATAATATTCATGAGGTACTGTATTAAAACACAAAGTTAGATACAATTTTTTGGTTAATTAGATGTCAATATACAAAAAATATTACTTAAGTATTGTATATAGTATAATTGCATGTTTAGTAATTGTATATAGTATATTGCATATTTATGTTATTTTTGTTTTTTGTATATATATACAAAAAAGTAATTGGACTTAGTTATACAGATGAATTTTTTTTTATATGATTAGAATTTGTATATTCTATTAGTTATATACAAATTATTGAAGTTTGTATATATTAAGTTTATATACATATACAAAAATTGATATGTACATGTCTGTTTTAATAGCTGGTAGTAGGGAATTGTATATGAAAGACTCATTATTTTTTTTATATACATATGTACACAAAGTAATTGGATTTAGTTATATAAATGGGAAAATATCATATGCGATTATAATTTGTATATTGTAGTAGTTATATACCAATTATTGAAGTTAGTATATATTAACTTTATATATTATTGGAGTATATAAAAAGTCATTTAGAAACTTGTATATAATGTCACGTTTAACTAATATATTCATGTACATATATAAATATACAAAAAAGGTAAGTTCATATATATATACAGATTTTTTTTTTTGAATTTGAACGTTTAGCTTAAAAAAAGGGACGTTTCCCTAAAATTGTGGCATTATCTAAATTTATTGTTAGCATATTTAACGCTTCAGTTACAAATCACTTTTTAAAATATAATTGTATAAATAAAAAAACATTATATACAAAATTAAAGATACCTAAAATAACTAAACTATACCCATATAAAGTAATTAGGTAAACTATACCCATACAATGTTATTTAATCTAATAAGTTTTCCATATATGAAATTTTCCCTATTTTTATAATTGAATGCCTAATTAATTACGGCAGGCACATTTGTAATCTTTTTCCATGTTTACCATCATCAAAAAAATATCTTTCATCAATATCATATATAACATATTTTCTATTTTCTCCTCAAATTCATTCAAAATTTAAGATACTTTACATAATTGCCGGAGTGATTTTTGTGATTTTGTATTCATCATGTATCATTTAATTGTATACTTATCTCATACTTATACAGTTTAATACCCTCAAATTGTATTTTTTTTGCTTGTTTGTCTTATGTATCTATACTTATACAGTTTGATACCCACAAATTGTATCTTTTTTGCACGTTTATATAATGTATCCATATTTTTGCTTAACAACAGTGTTGAAATGTATCCATATTTATGTACATAGATACTTGTATTGTTATATAAGTACAAGTTAAAATGTTATTTACGAATACAGTTATATCTAGATATACAAGCACTACATCCAAGACAAAAAGTTGATTAGGGAATACAAGTACATTTGTATCCAACATATTCATTTTAGTGTATCTATTGTCATGTAGTTCACCTATTCAAAATTGAAATACTTAACCTTCATTCACAAATTCAACAATTTGCTTACAATAATAACTTAAATCAATGAAAAAAATTATAAATACATTTACGATGCTAGAATAAGAAATATGGAGACGACAAGAAAATTGGATATGATGTATCACAATTTTTGTTAAACTGATAAAGAATATGATCTGATATGTCTTTAAATAAGTATTTTTTTTGTTATAAAGTTAATTATGGAAAGTTGCTCATTGTATGATGTAATGTAAGGATAATGGTTATATTTAGAGTCAATTCCGTATTTAGTTTCCTTTACTTAAAGATGTATTAGTGTGTAAATAAAAAAATAAAAAATTATACTAAAATACAGCAAAAAGGTGATATAAATTATAGTAATTTATTGTAAATAATATACTTATAGCTATTGATATTCATTAACCCTATAAATATAGTTATTTTTGTAAGTTGCTCTATAATATATGCATGAACAATGAATGTTACAAAAACATGTAACTCAAAAGTATGAAACGGTAATTCTTTTACAAAATTTATTACTAGTTCAATAGTTATTAACACTAAAGTTCCGTAAGATTTTTTTTAAGTCGTATTTAATATGATACTATTATTCGTTATGACACACACCAATATCTATCATAAATTAATGACACAAAAAAAACATACGATCATTCTAACTAACATGTTATTGTATGCCCTAATATTTAATTTAGAGTTAAAACTACTAACATATAAACAACATAAAAATATATACGTGAAATGTATTGATTAGTATGCCTAGTAAAGTGTTATAATAATACCTAAAACAAGTTATATATGCAGTAATAAAAATACTAATCAAAGATTTATGCAACTGATATTAGAGATTTTATAAACTCACAAATATATATCTGACTCTGAAAGAAAGTTGATTAACTTTTAGGAATTAATTTCGAATTAAGTATGTCTCAGTTGATTAGAGAATCGTGTTGATAACGTGTTATAAAAGAAGAGCAAAATGCAATAATACTAAACAAGAAATGGAAGACAAATATTAATGAAAAATATAGAGTAGACAATATTCTTTTATCTCTTTTGTTGTATATTTTCTAAGGGTGAAGATCATGCTTTTATAGGATTTTTAAGTTTTCCTTTTACAATATTTGATAATATGTGACTATAATAATTAATTAATATAATAAATGTAAACATTACGTTAGGATATGTTAAAGAAATATCCACACAATTAAGTGGATTTGCGACATCATCATCATCATCATCATTATTATTATTATTATTATTATTATTTATTATAAACAGCAATTTGCTCATTTTAATTTGGAGTTAGATGTCAAAAATACATTTAAATGATAATTTTTTGAGTTTTATAATTAAATTATTATTAGTTGAGAAACAAACCTAAATTATATATTGCTCATTAGTTTAAAACAATGTTTTAAAAGGTGAGGCATGAGGTGAGACGTTTTTTGTAGTACAGAGGGAGACTTAAGTTCCGAAACACGGGACATAATTCTTATGGATCTACGTGAGTAGTTTTATGTATATTCAATTTTATAATTTTATTACTAAGAAAATAAGCTAAAGTAGAACTTTCAATTATTTTACAAATAAATTTGATAAATAACCTATAATATATCAAAATATTATTATGATTTTTATTTGAGCAAGGTATTAATATAAAAAAAATATTAAAATTACTATTGAGAAATATCATTTCACCACCAAAAAATATATGACTTAAAGCAAAAAATATTTAAAAAGAAAAAAAAATGTCCATAACATACGTTTTTATGCCTGAAATATTTATTTTTACGTTTTGAGCTTACGCCTTATGAATCGTAAATACATGCTACATGTAATTAAATCTACTTATTTAATATAGTTTTTAATGAGAATAAATAATCAAGTAACATGCGATAAAAAAACTATTTTTAGTAATATGCTCCTCTAATATGTAAGGAAATATTCATTTAGAGTGAACAGTTACAATGACATTATGAATGAAAAGTCTGAATAACACCAATTAATGGTTATTAAATTACTGAAACCATTATTGAATTATGAATAATATCTAATTCAATTGTTACTTTTTTTAAAATAAAATTTTAGAGTAATTTTTCATAACATTTTTATTGACACTAGATAGATTTGTCAGTGCATGTACGGGCTCAATATTTATTTTATTATTGAGTATTTCATTCGTAAGATAGTCTTGTATTTTATGTTAATCTAGCTTGGTGTTAATATTTATTTTCACACATTCCACGACTAAAGCATGCTAATTATTATTATAAATTTTTTTATATAAGAATGTTGAATTGATAAAAAGCATATTGAACGATTGTGATGTATATATAAATTTAGTCTTGCTCATCATTACCTAAGATCACTTTAATATTTGTAATTTTGTATAACTAATATCTGTTGGAGCTATAATGCAATTTCATTAACTTTTTCACGTTATTTTTGATAATTAAAGCTCACTAAAAACATATGAAAATGGGTCACTTTATATGCAAAAATTGTGTATATACTTCAAATTTTTCACAAGAGGTTAAAAAATAAACTTTAATTTTTTAAATATTATTTTGCACTTTAAAAACAAAAATTAATTTCTTTAAATTTCACAATGAAAATGGCAAAATGCCTAGTAACATTCTAGACACTGTTGATTTTACCAACTCCTCTAACGTGAACATCCTGAATTAATAATCTAATGAGGACTTATAGCCTTTCTATTCTTTATTTGTAACATCTTTTGTTTTCTTTTTATTATATAAACTCTAGCAGATAATGTCATTCTAAAAACTTCAACATGTAAACTCTTGCCTTTGTTGTTTGCAATTGTCCAATTCATCACCAAATTTCATTCTTGAGCTTGTTTATGAAGCAACATGTATCCTTTAAAAGCTTATTTTTGGCATAGGGCTTCTTCTATTCGACAGATTTCAAAATCGATCACCATAATTAAGACTAATCCATTCTTGCAAATCAGGATAAAAGTAACTTTTTACTTCTCTTGAAATTAAGTATGGAGTGAATAAAAGAAAAACTACGCATGCAACTACAAGTAAATTAAAGACCACTACCCACCACTATTATATTTAACATCAGAAACAATAAAATTCACGATAAAAAAAAAAACAGAACTTAATAATACCTTGTAAAAATTATCCCCAAGAAACTGACATTTTCTATTAAATTTTATTACTGTTAAGCACACATGTTGATCCTATTCTCACTCACTCTTCTTAAATAGTAGATAAATAGTAGAATTATTCACGGCCCCGAGTGTTATAGTTCTATTTATTTATTTGGTCACTTTATTGTGTTAGACACAATTTCAATTTGTATGTTTTAATAATCATAATTATTTTTGCTTTAATTACATTTTTTTTTATTAAAGATAGCCTAAAT